ACGGGGAACATCTATGGGGAACATCTAAGGGAACCCGTGCAGCCCCCGAGAGAACCGGCCGGCGGTGTGCCGCTCCCCTGCGGAAGTGGGGAATGCGGCCAGGGGGAACTGCCCTTCCACGGAGGTGGAAGGGATAGTAGCCAACCCGGGAAGAACCAGCAGCAAACCCGGGGAGGGCCGAGCAGACGAAAGAACAGCGCAGGGTCCTGTGTCGTTCCTCCACGAAGAGGGGGAGCGACATATAATTAACACAGAAAGAAACACATTTTAAGTACTGACTTCGATGAATTTTTTTTTTTTTTTTTTTTTTTGGACAGGCAGAATTAGACAGTGAGAGAGAGAGAGAGAGAGAGACAGAGAGAAAGGTCTTCCTTTTTCCGTTGGTTCATCCCCCAAATGGCCGCTACGGCCAGTGCATTGCGCTGATTCGAAGTCAGGAGCCAGGTGCTTCCTCCTGGTCTCCCATGCGGGTGAAGGGCCCAAGGACTTGGGCCATCCTCCACTGCACTCCTGGGCCACAGCAGAGAGCTGGCCTGGAAGAGAAGCAACCAGGACAGAATCCGGTGCCCCAACCGGACTAGAGTCTGGGGTGGCGGTGCCGCAGGCGGAGGATTAGCCAAGTGAGCCGTGGTGCCAGCATTTGATGAATTTTAATAACTGTATAAGTTTATGTAATCAGGTCAAGTATTTGGCGCAGTGGTAAAGATGCTGTTTGTGATACCTGCATTCCATACTGGAGTGAACTGGGTTCAAGTCCCAGCTAGGCTCCTGATCTGGTCTCTTGCTTATGAGCACCCTGGGAGGCAGCAGGTGATGATGGCTTAAGTACCATGTGGGACACCCAGATTGAGAGCTTGGCTCCTGGCTTTGGCATGGCACAGCTCTAGCTATTCTGAGCATTTGGGAAGTGAACCAGTTGATGGAAAATCTGTCTGCTTTTCACACATAATGAAAAAGATAAATTAAGTAAAAAATTTTAAAATGTACAATATTAAAAAAAGTCCATGTAACCATGATCCAAAAAAGAAAAGGAAATGTCTATCTCCCAAGAGATCCCTCTAGCTCCTTTCCACTCAATTCTACATTTCATCCCCATCACTGCCTGATTTCTAATACGACAGATAAATTTGTCTGTAGCTGGATTTTACATAATTAGAATCAAGGAATATATATTCTTTTTGTGTCTGGCTTGTTTTTCGCTTAATAAGAATCATGGGATTTCACCCATATTGTGTGTCAGCACTTTGCTTGGTTCACTGTTGTTGTTAAGTAGTATTCCACTTGTTTCCCCAGTCTATTTTTTTTTTAAGATTTATTTATTTATTTGAATGTTTATTTATTTACTTACTTGAATGTCAGAGTTACAGAGAGAGCAAGAGAGTGAGCTTCTATCTGCTGGTTCACTCCCCAAACGGCTGCAATGGCCAGGCTGGGCCAGATGCAAGCCAGGAGCCTGGAACTTCTGAGTGTTCCACATGAGTGGCAGGAGCCCAAGGATTTGGGCTATCTGCTACTTTTCCCAGACCATTAGCAGAGAGCTGGATCAAAAGTAGAGCAGCCCAGGACTTGAATCAGCGACCACATTGGATGCTGGTGCTTCAGGCATTGGGGTAACCTGCTGTACCACAGAGCTGTCCCCACTCCCTTAGTCTCTTGCTGATGGACATGTGAAATACATCCAGTTTGGACTATATAAAAAAGTTTCTATAAACATTCTTGTGCAAGTCTGTGTGGACAGGTTTCTATTTCTCAGCTACCTAGAAGTGAGACTGCTGGGTTGTATGGCAATGACAAACTTTATAAGAAATCTGCCAACCCTTTTCCCAAAGTGGTTTTATTATTTCATACTCCTATCACCAATGTGTGAGAATTCTATTTCTTCACCAACATTTGGTATTGTTAATCTTTTTGATTTACAGTCATTCTAGTGGGTACAAAGTAATATCTTATTCTGTTTTTTTTTTTTTTTTGAAAGGCACGGTTACAGAGAGCAGAGAGGCGAAGAGAGAGAGAGAGAGAGAGAGGTCTTCTACCTGCCAGCTCTCTCCCTAAATGGCCACAATGGCTGGAGCTGGGTAGATCTAAAGCCAGGTGCCAGGAGCTTCTTCTGTGTGTCCTACGTGGGTGCAGGGGCCCAAGAACTTGGGTTATCGTCTACTGCTTTTGCAGGCCATAGCAGAGAGCTGGATCAGAAGTGGAGCAGCGGGACTCAAATTGGCACCCATATGGGATGCTGGCATCGCAGGCAGAGGCTTTACCCACTAAGCCATAGCATTGGCCCCTCATTCTGGTTTTAATATTCATTTCCTGAATGGTTTTTCAAGGGCTTATTGGGGATGTGTATATTCCTTTGTGAAATGTCCATGTAATCTGTTTTTCATTTTTTAAAACATTTATTTGCTCAAAAGGCAGAGTGATAAAGATAGCCCATCCATTAATTCACTCCCCAAATGGCTGCAAAAACTATGGTGGGCCGAGCTGAAGCCAGGAGCCAGGAACTCCACCTGGATCTCCTACATGGGTAGCAGGAGCCCAAGTACTTGGGCCTCATCCAGTGCCTCCCAGATGCCTTAGTAGAAAGCTGGACTGGAAGCATGGAGTAGTTTGTACTTGAACCAGGCACTCTGATATGAAATGCAGGCATCTCAAGCAGCACCTTAAGCTGTGGCACCATAATGTACATCTCTAATTTGTTATTTTTTTTAAAGATTTATTTATTCATTTGAAAGTCAAGAGTTACACAGACAGAGGAGAGGCAGAGAGAGAGAGAGGTCTTCTGTCCGATGGTTCACTCCCCAGATGGCTGCAACAGCCAGAGCTGCGCCAATCTGAAGCCAGGAGCCGGGAGCTTCTTCCGGGTCTCCCATGTGGGTGCAGGGGCCCACGGACTTGGGCCATTCGCCACTGCTTTCCCAGGCCATAGCAGAGAGCTGGATCGGAAGAGAAGCAGCTGGGACTAGAACCGGCACCCATATGAGATGCCGGTGCTTCAGGCCAGGGTGTTAACCTGCTGCACCACAGCGCCAGCCCCCTAATTTGTTATTTAAAATCACTCACCACACTGTATTTCCCCTCCAAATGAGTCTTTAAAATGTAAGTTTTAAAGATTTGCATAGTACTCCCCATACGTATATAATGAAATTCATTCCTCAGTGAAGGACATTTTCTGAAATTTTTAGCTCTAGGACAAACTCCTTAATATGTCCATTTTGTCTGCATTATCTTTAGTATAATTTCCAAGATATAAAATGGTTTCCATATTAGCTTATAATCATCCAAATGCATGTGTATTCCTCCAAGTAGACTGAAGGTCATTGAGAATGAGGACTTACTCATCTTTCTACAAGAGGAGCACAATATGGTAGGTCCTCCATAGAAATTTGTTGAATATATTTTTAAATTAACTCTTGAAATACATCACTGTAGGGGCTGGTGTTGTGGTGCAGTAGGTTAAAGCTCTGCCTGCAGCATTCCATATAAGCACAGGTTTGAATTCCAGCTGCTGCACTTCCAAGCCAGCTCCCTGTGAATGCGCCTGGAAAGCAGTGAAAGATGGCTTAAATGCTTGGGACCCTGTAACCCAAACAGGAGACATCAATGGGGCTCTAAATTCCTGGCTTTGTTCTGGCCGAGCCATAGCCATTACAGGCCTTTGGGGAGTGAACCATTGGAGGGAGGATCTCTCTTCTTCTGACTCTTCCTCTCTCTCCATAACTCTGCCTTTCAAATAAATAAATAAATCTTTAAAAAAGATACATATTACTCTAATATAGGAAAAAACTATAGAAACAATTAGAAAACTGTATTATTATCATTATCTTAAAGTTAATGCTATTTTACCATGTAATAATTAATGTAAATAACTATTGAATCAATTAATGTGACAACAAAACCTTAAGGTCAGGAGAGTATATAGTAATAAATAGAGATACCTGAATAGAGGTGAAAATGTAGTTTTGTGGAAAACTGAAAAGTAGCAGTAACAAGATAAATTACCAAGCAGTTAAGAATGGACGTCTTAAAAATTCCTGAAGCTATGGTGGTTTCATGTACACTTACCTTGCCCAGGGACAAAAGCTCTAGAAAACTGGGGCATGATGGAAAGTGGTGGTCCAGAGGGACGGACAGCCTTCAGGGTGGACAGCTGAGCTGGTGCTGGCGACTGAGCTGGTGAAATTATGGGACTACTGAGTTGAGGGCTGTGCTGCAATCACAATACATCACAAAAATGGGTTAGCATCTGGGGCAGGTTTTTTGCAAATTTCTTTTGGACAAAAATTCTTCTTCCTGAATAACAAATACATGTGTAATTAAATATTAAAACATTATAGAAATATGTAATCTCTACCTCTGTTTATGGAAGAGGGAACAGACTACACTTCTCACTTGTAAAAAATGTTATTAATATAAAGAAAACAGATTTCATGTATTTCATAGGTACAGTTCTAAGATAACCATACTTCCCTTCCTGTCTCCCTCCTTCCCTCCTCCTTTTTTCCCTTTAATTTTTACAATAACAGAATTTCAATTTACTTTATAGTCACATGCTTAATTCACCACTAACCATAATATTCAACAAGTAAAAACAGAAAGACCTCTGTTCCACAGGAATATAGACAAGGGCTACAAATAGTAATAAAATAATAAGATGTCAGTTTCATCCTTGTACTTTTTTTTTTGTATTTTATATACCTATTTTTGAAACTTGCTTTTGTATGCTAGCAATATTTTGATACCTCCACATGAGAGAATATATGCATCTATCTCATTTTATTCTGCAATAAATGTCTATCCCAAGATTTGATTTTTAAATAATTTCATTAGGGGGTATTAGCCTAGTGGTTAAGATGCTGGTTAACATGGCTGCATCCCATATTGGAATACCTGAGTTCAATACATGGTTCCTGCTGCTGGTTCCATCTTCCTGCTAATGCAGAACCTGGAGGCAGTGGTGATGGCTCATGTTAATTGGGTTCCTGCCACCTACATGGAAAACATGCATTGAGTCCCTGGTTCCCAGTTTGAGCCTGGCCCAACCCTGGCTGTTGTGGGCATTTGAGTAGTGAATTAGTGGATGAGAGCTCCTTTTTTCTCTTAAACAAATGAGTAAAATTTAAAAAAAATTCATAGCAAGAGGATAATTGCAAAGACAGTACAAAGAATCCCTAGATTTTCCAAAGTATGAAAATGTTTTATCACATTTCTTTTCTTTACATATATATGTATATATATACATATGATTTCTTTCAAATTGTGAATTGCACACATAGCTCTTTACCCTGAAATGATTTGATCTATCTTCTAAAAACAAGAAATCATTCTTACATACTCATAGTAGAATCAACAAACCAGAAAATTAATAATATAGTATAGGTACCTAATCTACAGAGTTCATTAAAATTTTCCCAAGTGTTCCATAAGGTCCTTTAAAGCAAAGGAAAAGAAACATTTCCCCTTTGTGTATGAAATCTAGACCAGAATCAGGGGCTGCATTTAGTTGTCATGATTCTTCATTCTAAAAGTCCCAGTCTTGTTAATGATTTTGGCACTTCTGAAGATCAGATAATTTGTGTCTATCTGACATCACAGTACTGTTGACATTTGCACGAATCATTGGTTAAGGTGATGTTTACCAGGTTTCTCCATTGTAACTTACTCTTTTTTCCTTTGCAGTTCTAAGTATCTTGTGGGGAGATACTTTACAAAATATCCTGCTTTGCATCAAATTTTAGACACCAGTTTTAGGATCTAGTGATGATTCCTGTCTTTTAGTTTCCTGGTAGTGATTTTCTTGCCTTTTTTGTTTAATCCTTAAATAAGATTTACTTACTTATTTGAAAGGCAGAGTTAGAGAGAGAGAAGGAGAGAGAGGAAAAGAGAGAGACAGGGAGAGAGATTGAGACTTCCACCTGTTGGTCCACTCTCCAAATGGCCACAACAGATGGGGCTGAGCCAAGCCCAAGCCAGAGGCTAGGAGCTTCTTCTAGGTTTCCCATGTGTGTGCAGGAGTCCAGGGACTTGGGCCATTTTCCACTGCTTTCCCAGGTGCATCAGCAGGGAGCTGGATTGAAAGTGGAGCAGCAGGGATTTGAACCAGCTTAACCTTCTATGCCACAGTGCCAGCCCCCTGGTGGTTATTTTCTAATTCCACTATCCCCCATCATTCTTGCAGTCCTTCTTTACTTTCTGGAACACTATGATGATCTATATTCATCCTGTACTTTCCCTGAACCAATCACCACAATGATTGTTTTTCTGAGGAGCTCTGGTTTGTTTTAGTGCAGAATGGCATTTAGAAACTACCATCTAGGTAGCAGTGTATATCACTCTTTTGTGTAGATATACTTAAAGATATTTTCCTAAATGTCAAAATAATTTATTTATTCATCAGTTATTCATTGATAAACTGCTAAGAGACTGTTTCCAATTTTTCAATGTTACAACAGGGAGGAAAGAAACATGCCTGGCACAGTTGGTTTTAATGCTTATTCTACAATTTTCACTGGATAAAGTTCCAGAAGTAGATTTGTGGATCAAAGGTTTTGCACCTTCTATATTAAAAAACAAACAAAAAAGAAAAACTGTCACCAAACTGCATTCCCAAAAGAACTATACCAATTTATGCTACCACCAAGAGTGTACAAGACAGCTTGTAAATGGCTGTCTTTGCCAACACTGCAAAATTATTAGTTTTCTTAACTTTTCCCAATTATAGAGAGTATTTTTATATTCTCATGTTTTTAATGGTCATTTACAGTTTATGAACTGATTTATAAATGATATTTATAAATATATATTATATATACATATACATAACATATGATTAATTCTTTAAGAAATTTGTGTGTGAGAGAGAGCGCGAGAGCCAAAGAGAAAGAGGGAGAGAGTTTCCATCCACTGATTTACTCTCCAAATGCCAGCAAGGGCTGTGGCTAGGCTGGGCAGAAGCCAGTAACCAGGAACTCAATTATTAAGCTATCATTGTTGCCTCTGTCACTGAATTAGCAGGAACATGGATTCAGGAACCAGAGCTAGGTAATGAGCCACATACTCCAACGTGGGATGTCCATGTCTTAACAACTAGGCTAAATGCCCATTTCTTTGTTATGATTTTGTCATGTTTATTGAAACATTTTTTCCCTTTAATTTTACCTTAAACATCTTAAAACAAACAAACAAACAAACAAACAAACAAACTTGGAGGTCGAAACTGTGGTGCAGCGGGTTAAATCACAATCTGCAGTGCCAGTATCCCCTATGGGCGATGGTTCAAGTCCTGGCTGCTCCACTTCTGATCCAATCCCCTGCTAATGTGCCTGAGAAAGCAGTGGAAGATGGCCCAAGTCCTTGGGCCCCTGCACCCACATGGGAGACCCAGAAGAAGTTCCTGGCTCTGGCCTGGCCCAACCCTAGCTGATATCAGCCATTTGTGGAGTGAACCAGCAGATGGAAGATCTGTCTCTCTGTTTCGCTCTTCTCTAATTCTTCCTTTAAAATAAATAAATAAATCTTTAAAAAAACCTCCTAATTCCATCAAGTTTCTTTTATGTTAAAAAAAGAAATGTTCTCTGAGAGGCAGAGAAAAAGAGAGACATGAGAGCTCCCATTATATGGTTTATCCCTCAAATGCCAACAACAGTCTCTACTCAGGGCTGAAGTCACAAACTGGGAATTTAATCCAGGCTGCACATGTGGGTGGCAGGGATTCAACCACCTGAGTCATTACCAGGGTTGGCATTAGAAGGACGCTGGAATCAGGGAGGAATCAAATTCAGGCACTCTGATATGGGTCACAAGCATCTAAATTGCTAGCCTAAATACCTAGCAGTGTAAAATTTCAAGGATATAAAAGTGTAGATAGAAAAGTATAGTGAACCTCTTTGGGCCCCCCTCATCCAATTTTAATTGTGATTGCCTCTGCTTTGTTTTTTCCTGAGGTAATAAAAGCAAATCTCAGATATCACAGCATTTCCTTTACAACATTTTGGTATTATAAATATTTCTATCTAATAGATAAGAATTCTTAAAAAAAAACTGAAAAATTAGCAATTATTAAAATTAACCTATCTTTGCTCAAAAACATCTTTTGACTATATAGTATCTAAACAAGATGTACATATTGCATCTGATTATTTTACTTCATGAATCTTTCAATCTATAATAAAACAAATTTTCATTTAAAAATGCCATTTATTTGTTAAAGAAACAAGGTCAGTGTATGTCTAGTAAAATATATTCTTGGTATCATGTAATCTGTCCTTTTTCTTCCTATAATTCCAATAAATTAGCAGACATAAAGGCTTGATTAAATTCAAGAACATTTATTTGAAAGAGAACCAGAGAGAAAGAGTGAGAGCCCCATCCATTAGTTCACTCCCCAAATGCTGCTGGCTGAAGCCAAAGCTGAGATATGAAAACTCAATACAGGTTTCCTATGTAAGCAGCAAGGACCTCATTACTTGAGCCATCACTGCTGCCTCCCACAGTGCTCATTCACAGGAAGTTGAGACAGCAGTGAAGCCAGGGATCAAACCTAGGCACTCTGATATACTGTGTAACACTCAGACCAAACATCTGTCTGCAGGTTCAATTTTTTGGATAAGAGCAGAGTACATCAGGAGTGATGTTATGTGCTTCGTTCTGCATCACATTAGGAGGCAAAGGAAAAAAAAAGCTTGATCAAACATTTTCATGTTATAACTGCTCAATGGGTTCTGTGTCATCTCATCCTTTTATTTTAACATTCCCCATATTTTTGTACCTAATGTTCTGCTGATGATTTCTCGTTATCACTTTTACACTGTTCCCAAATGTTGACTTTTCTGAGTTTGCCATTGCTTCTGCATTTATTAACTGAACTTATACTTTTTAAAGATTTATTTATTTGAAAGTCAGAGTTACAGAGATAGAGAGAGAGATCTTGCATCTGCTGCTTCATTCCCCAAATGGCAGCAACAACTAGGAGCCAGAAGTTTCATCTGGGGCTGCCACGTGGGTGGAAGGGGGCCAAGCACTTGGGCCATCTTCTGTTGTGCTTCCCAGATCATTAGCAGGAAGCTGGATTGGAAGTGGAGCAGCTGGGATATAATGGGTGCCCATTTGGGATGCTGGCATTGCAGGTGGCTTTCTTTATCTGCTATGCCACAAGGCCACAATTCTTCTATAATGAAGAATGTTCTCTTATCAGCTATTTGGTTACACTAAAATATAGTTCATACAGTAAAAATAGAACAATGCTTGATTTGTTTTCTTTACAAAGTTTTAGATCCACTTTATTTTTTGACTTTTAAAAATAAGTAAAAATTTTTTGAATATGCAGGAGTTGGCAAATAATATTTAAATATTAAAGTAAATTGTGTAGATATGGAGAATATTCACTTTTAAAATAATAATCTGCTGGCCGGTGCCATGGCTCAATAGGCTAATCCTCCGCCTTGCGGCGCCGGCACACTGGGTTCTAGTCCCGATCAGGGTGCCGGATTCTGTCCTGGTTGTCCCTCTTCCAGGCCTGCTCTCTGCTATGGCCCGGGAGTGCAGTGGAGGATGGCCCAAGTGCTTCGGCCCTGTACCCGCATGGGAGACCAGGAGAGGCAGCTGGCTCCTGGCTTTGGGTCAGCGCAGTGGGCCGGCTGCAGCGCGCCGGCTGCGGCAGCCATTGGAGGGTGAACCAACGGCAAAGGAAGACCTATCTCTCTGTCTCTCTCTCTCACTGTCCACTCTGTCTGTCAAAAATAATAATAATAATAATAATAATAATAATCTGCTTCAGAGGATTTCAAATTGAGTAAGCCTTAAGTATAAAAAATGTAAATTTTCAAAATGATAATGATTAAAAGGATCTTACCTGGACAATACTGTCTACATTGCTAAATTCCACACACTTCTGTCCCCTCTGGTGATCACAGTAATATTTGTTCTGTTTCCACTGTGGGGGTGAGTGGGCACGAGATTGTGGATTGTTTGGTACACTGAGCTGCATCATTACCATTCCTCCACCAGGTGGTGGTGGTGGCACAGCTGAAAATCAGAATAAAGGACAGTGTAATCAGCGTACTGTAGTTACTGGCTGAACAATACAATAACAACAATTCCACATTTCTAAACAAAATTTTACAATTCTACTTCTTTTATTATTTTCTCATCGGGAAAAAGAGGCCAGGAAGATCTCTCTGATTTATAGAGTTGTGAGGACTCTGTAAGATAGGAGTGGGGTCAAGGTTCACTTGGGTATTTATAACATCATTTGTAAGACACACAAAATTACCAAACTTGATAAATTAGCCCACTACAGAGTAATTGAATTTTGAGGCTTGCCTGTGGTTTTGCAGGGCCAGACTAATGATTTTGCAGAACTTATATAGCCCGAAGGCTGGACACTCCACATCCCTGCAGGAGTCTTCAAAAATTTCATGGAAAACACACACTGTTAATTCCATTTTCCATGAATTTTCTAAAGTGCCCTTGTATATACAGAAAGGCACTTTGCTAACTGTACAGCAGAGATAAGCAGACTAATGTACCTATCCTGTGACCTCATTCATTTCTCACATGCTGGTACTGCAGCAATACTAGTACCAGCCACAAACTTCACTGACACTAACCACAGCTGTGTAGGCAGGATCCAATCCTCTACCCCCAGGGCAACAGTAGGTACTACAGTAACCATAAAGATGGTTTCAGTTCCTTAGAAATGGAACCAATTTGACTGCTAGGCCGACTATTGGAGAGCTGACTGCTTAAGAGATATCTCAAGGCCGTCCTCAGTCAATGTGGCCCATTTGGGTCAGAGTCACTATTAGTTATTTATTGTTTACCTGTTTTTCAAGAACTTATACATATCAACAAATCATTACAATAAAACACAGTGTGAGGGTAGAGGTTAGTTTAAGAGGCTATGGCAGAGTGGAAGAACAAACAATCTTAAAGACTGGGAGAGGCCGGCGCTGCGGCTCACTAGGCTAATCCTCCGCCTTGCGGCGCCGGCACACCAGGTTCTAGTCCTGGTTGGGGCACCAGATTCTGTCCCGGTTGCCCCTCTTCCAGGCCAGCTCTCTGCTGTGGCCAGGGAGTGCAGTGGAGGATGGCCCAAGTGCTTGGGCCCTGCACCCGCATGGGAGACCAGGATAAGTACCTGTGGGGAGCAACTGGGAGCAACTCGGACTAGACTAAGTTACTGGAATTAAGACTTATTCTATGCATCTGCTCTCCCACAATATGGCGCTGGGAGAGGAGGAAACAGCTTCTACACAGCTGCCTCTTGCCAACTTGAGTGATGACCTCCAGGAGCTGATCCTGCTCCTGATTGGAGGAGAGCAGCGTACTTGGCGTGTGGGTAGCAGAGTTGGGATTGGTGGAAAAGGACTATAAAGGAGGAGAGAGACAACATGCACCAGGAACATCTATCTGAAGGAACACCTGAGCAGCCCCCAAGAGAGCTGGCCGGCGGTGTGCCGCTCCCCCGCGGAAGTGGGGAAAGTGGCAGGGGGAACCGCCCTTCCACGGAGGTGGAAGGGACGGTAGCCAACCCAGGAAGAACCAGCAGCAAACCTGGGGAGGGCCGAGCAGACAAAAGAACAGCGCAGGGTCCTGTGTCGTTCCTCCATGAAGAGGGGGAGCGACAAGTACCTGGCTCCTGCCATCGGATCAGCGCGGTGTGCCAGCCGCAGCGCGCCGGGCGCGGCGGCCATTGGAGGGTGAACCAACGGCAAAGGAAGACCTTTCTCTGTGTCTCTCTCTCTCACTGTCCACTCTGCTTGTCAAAAAAATAAAATAAATTAAAAAAAAAAAAAAAGACTGGGAGAAGCCTCTGTAGAACAGGTGATTCTCTGAGTCAACTTTTAAGGATGAGATTTTAGGTAAACAGAAGATGGTGGATGGCTATTTCAGGCAGAAAAAAGAATGGTAGAAAGGATTTCTGGCATGAAAAGCCACAGCTTATCATAGAAACCAAGATTCTGTATGAAATGTAATTAGGTTTGTTTGTGCTGGAGTTTAGATGGTGAATCCAGCCAAGTTTTTATACAGAGAAATGGCATGAAGAGATTCTGTTTTGATTTAGTCTGAGGGTATGGAACCCATTGATGCTGAGACCCAACTGTATATAAATGTACCTTCAACGAAGTGTTCTCTGCCATTTTGAGGATTAGGTACAATAAATGTTAGAAATTCGCTTAAACCAGAGTTACAAGCTGGTAGTCTACAGGCCACTCTGGCCCACCATTGTTCTATCTGTCACACCTAAGGTTTACAAAAATCTTGAATTTGAAGTCTTTAAACTGAGCATACATTCCCAGTTTTGTCACAGTCCACCGGACTCCCTCTTACTATCAAACAACTTCTGTCTTTCCTACTTAGCCCAGAAGACACCTAAGTTTGAGATCCCTAATTTAGATCTGTGGTAGAAAAGGTTTCTGAATTTCATAACTTGCTAATATTGTAAATACTATTCAATCACTTTAGCATATGCATTTTAGATCGTTTCTTATGAATGCATCTTTTTAATGTGGTGCTTTTTCAAAAAGATTATTGAATTAATATTGTAACTGAAAAGTTTAAAAATCATTTTCAAATGTTTTATATTTCTTAAAAAAGATTCTGTTTTGAGACAACAAATTTTCAAATTGTGTGTATGAGTGGTGCAGAGTAAGAAAGGAGAGGATGCGATAAAGAAGGAATAAGTATTAGGCATGGAAAGCCAAGACACCCTGGAAAAAAAAAAAGAAAAAAAAAAAAGGAAGACCTAAATGGAAGATCTCTGCAAGTAAGATCCCAGTGGAAACAACAGGGCCATCAAAGAAGGAGGTACCTTTCTCTGAAGGGAGGAGAGAACTTCCACTTTGACTATGACCCTGTCGGAATAAGATCGAAGTCAGCGAACTCAAAAGGCTTCCATAGCCTTGGCAACTCATGACTAGAGCCTACGGAGATTACTGACGCCATAAACAAGAGTGTCAAATTGTTAAGTCAACAACAGGAGTCACTGTGTACTTACTTCTCATGTGGTATCTGTCCTTAATGTGTTGTCCAATGTGAAGTAATGCTATAACTAGTACTCAAACAGTATTTTACACTTTGTGTTTCTGTGTGGGTGCAAACTGATGAAATCTTTACTTAATATATACTGAATTGATCTTCTGTATATAAAGATAATTGAAAATGAATCTTGATGTGAATGGAATGGGAGAGGGAGCGGGAGACGGGAGGGGTGTGAATGGGAGGGAAATTATGGGGGGGGAGCCATGGTAATCCATTAACTGTACTTTGAAAATTTATATTTACTAAATAAAAAATTAAAAAAAGAAGGAATAAGTAAAAAGAGATCACTGCAAATAGGATAAGAAAAAATAGATCAAAATTAGCTGTCGTGGGGAAGAAAAGAAGGTTCAGTTTTGAGGAAATCATGACTTTGAAATTTCTGTTTTGGTCCCTAGGTAGAAGGTGTGGTAAGACATACACAAATAAGAATAAAATAGAGTCCACTGTGTCTTTGACATATTTGGGAAAAGACGTCCAGGAGGCAGTTGGCTATATCGTTTTGTCTGAGCAGAAGTCAGAATTCAGAGATGCTGGAAAAAGCAGTAGTGGAAGCTTGGGGGTGGTTGGTTTACCCAGGAAGGGCTTGAACAGTGATAAGAGAAGGGCCTAGAAACGGAGCTCAGAGCATGTGAATATGAAGGGAGGAGATCAGTGTGACAGCAGCAGAGAAAGAAAATCAAGAGTGGGCTGTACCCTTTACACGCTGGGTCTATCTCAGCACAACCCAAATTGAGAATCTTTTGTAAAAGTACCTAAGGAAATGAAAGGAACTATTTCTCAAATGGACAATTACCTTTTAAAAATAATTCATTCATACCTGCACACTGATGGCCTTGAAGCTGCTGGGAACTGCATGGTGAAGTAGTTCGAGGAAACTGTACTTGTTCTGATCCAGGATGTTGCAAGTAACCTACCGAAGAGCTATGGGCCAAACAAATCCAATAAACAAGAACACAACACAGTGAGATGAAGATGACTGTAAGTAGTGTTTGAATAACAGACTATAAAGTATTTAAATAAAATTATTTTTCAAACTGGTCAGCAGTAAAAGTCAAACAATTTATTCTCTGAATTATGAGTAATTATTACATAAAATTAGCTTATAACACTGGTTTTTAAAAATCAGGAAAAAACAATTCATAATTCCATCACTTATAATTCTATAATCTATTCTTTTGTACTGTTCAAATAATTATTTACTGTCTGTCCCTCTCTCTGTCTCTAACTCTACCTTTAAAAAAATTCTTAGGTGCCGGCGCTGTGGTGCATAGGGTTAACACCCTGGCCTGAAGTGCCAGCATTCCATATGGGCACCGGTTCTAGTCCTGGCTGCTCCTCTTCCAATCCAGCTCTGCTGTGGCCTGGGAAAGCAGTAGAAGATGGCCTAAGTCCTTGGGCCCCTGCACCTGCATGGGAGACCCGGAAGAAGCTCCTGGCTCCTGGCTCCGGATCGGCACAGCTCCAGCCGTTACAGCTATCTGGGGAGTGAACCAGTGGGTGGAAGAACTCTCTCTGACTCTACCTCTCTCTGTAATGCTGTCTTTCAAATAAATAAAATAAATTTTTAAAAAATTATTAAAAAGCAAAAACAATTCACCAACTTTATAAAGTAAAAAGGTAATGCATTTGGATCTCATTGAGTTACATTTAGAAAACAGAACATGTGGGTCTGGTGCTGCGGTACAACTGGTTACGTCACTATCTGCAGCGCCGGCATCCCATATGGATGCTGGTTCAAGTCCTGGCTGCTCTACTTTTGATCCAGCTCCTGGTTAGTGAACCTGAAAGATAGTCCAAGGGCTTGGACCCCTGGACCCATGTGGAAGACCTGGAAGAAGCTCCTGGTTCCTGGCTTTGGACTGGCCCAACTCTGCCCATTGCAGCCATTTGGGGAGTGAACTAGTAGATGGAAGATCTCTCTCTTTCTCTGCCTTTCTGTAACTGCCTTTCAAATAAATCTTAAAAACGGGCCAGCGCTGTCCCATAGTAGGTTAAGTCTCTGCCTGTGGCACTGGCACCCTATATGGGTGCTGGTTCACGTCCTGCTGTTGATCTTCTGATCCAGCTCTCTGCTGATGGCCTGGGAAAGCAGTGGAATATGGTCCAAGTGCTTGGGCCCCTGCACCCACACGGGAGACCCGGAGGAAGCTTTTGGCTTTGGATTGGCCCAGCTCCGGACATTGAGGCCATTGTGGGAGTGAACCAGCAGATGGAAGACCTATGACTGTCTCTCACATAAATAAATCTTAAAAAAAAGAACCTGTAGCTTGACAATGATGAAGCTCAGAGAAAAGTATTTCAATTCTTAGAAAATGTATTAAGAATAAAGGAACAATGGAATATGACATTTTCTAATATAGAAAATGAAGAAAATAAAAGGCAATTAGTGTAAAACCATCAAGTTATTGTTGTATTTTTGAATAGTCTTTCAGACTCAAATTAATATAGGGTTTGTCATAATACAACTCCAAAGCTTTTTGTTTAGTAAATTCTTTTGGGATAATAGTTAAAAATCACAAAATGACACTATTTATTCTGAGAAATTACAAGTGATTATGAACCTTAATTTTATCCAAAGCTCCATTCATTACCAGTCTTTTTTCATTATTTGAAAAAACTCTTTATAGAATGGGCCATCAATGAAGGAGGTACCTTTCACTTCCACTTTGATTATAGCCTTGTCTAAATAAGTTCGGAATTTGTGAACTCAAGAGGCTTCCATAGCCTTGGCAGCTCATGACTAGAGCTTAGGGTGATTACTGACATCATTAATAAGAGTTAGTTGTTAAATCAACAATAGGAGTCACTGTGCACTTACTCCCCATGTAGGATCCCTGTCCTTAATGTGTTGTACTATGAGAATTAATGGTAAAAATAGTCTTCAAACAGTACTTTATACTTTGTATGTCTGAGTGGGTGCAAACTGTTGAAATCTTTACTTAGTATATACTAAGTTGATTTTCTGTATATAAAGATAATTAAAAATGAATCTTAATGAAGAATGGGGTGGGAGATGGGATGGTTTGCAGATGGGAGGGTGGTTATGGGGGAAAACTGCTATAATACTGTCGCTCCCCCTCTTCGTGGAGGAACGACACAGGACCCTGCGCTGTTCTTTCGTCTGCTCGGCCCTCCCCGGGTTTGCTGCTGGTTCTTCCCGGGTTGGCTACTATCCCTTCCACCTCCGTGGAAGGGCAGTTCCCCCTGGCCGCATTCCCCACTTCCGCAGGGGAGCGGCACACCACCGGCCGGCTCTTCTCGGGGGCTGCACGGGTTCCCTTCAGCTAGATGTTCCCCATAGATGTTCCTGGTGCATGCCGTCTCTCTCCTCCTTTATAGTCCTCCTCCGCCAATCCCAACTCGGCTGAGTACGCTGCTCTCCAATCAGGAGCAAGTCCTACAGTTTATCAGTTGAACTGGAGGCAGCTGTGCGGAAGCTGTTTACTTCTCTCCCAGCGCCATATTGTGGGAGAGCAGATGCATAGAATAAGTCCTAATTCGAGTAACTTAGTCTAGTCCGGATTGCTCCCCACATAATACAAAAGTTGTACTTTTGAAATTTATATTTATTAAATGAAATTTTCTAAAAAAAGAAAAAACTCTTTATAAATCAGTATTTCATTTTTTTAAAAAAAGATTCACTCACTTTTTCGAAATACAGAGTGACAGAGAGCATGACATAGCAGGAGGGAGAGAGAGAGTAGACAGAGATCAATTCGTCTTCCATCTGCTGGTTCACTCCCCAAATGTGTGCAACAGCCAGAGCTGGGCCAGGCCAAAGCAATGAGCCAGGAACTCCACCTGAGTCTCCCATGGGAATGGCAGGAAGCCAAGTACTTGGGCTATCATCCATTGCCTCCCAGGCACATTACCATGAAGCTGTATCAAAAGTGTGGAGTAGCGAGGCCTGGAACTACTCAGATATGGGATGTGGCTTAACCCACAATCTCTGCTCCTAATCAACTGAGCAGTGTTTTAAAAAAATCCATTTATTTTTTAATAAAGTCAGAATGGGGGGTGGGGAGAAAGACAGACTCTTCTATCCACTGTTTCACTCCCCAGATGGCCACAACAGCCAGAGCTGGGCCAGGCTGAAGCCAGGAGCCAGGGGCTTCTTCTGGGTCTCCCACATGGGTGGCAGGGGCCCAAGCACTTGAGGCATTTTCCACTGCTTCCCCAGGAGCATTAGCAGGAAGCTGGTTAGGAAACAGAGCAGCTAGGACTTGAATGGGGGCCCATATGGGTTGCAGGAGGTGGCTTAACCTGTTAAGCCATGATGCCGGCCCAAACTCAACAATTTTTTCTAATCAACTAAATAATTATTTTGTACATGTTAACTCCACTAAAAATACTAGTTTAGATCCCATTACTGAATTACAGATAAAATGAGGGAGACATGTTAAATGACACTATAATAATGCAATGACAACAATGGGAAACTCTGGAAGCCAAATGTATGAAAATATAAGCAATATCTGTGGGATACACAGAAATGCTAATATTTGATATAATTAAGGAATTAACTGAAAATTTTAAAGATGTGAAATGGCACTTTAGTTATATGGGCTTACCAAAATCTTGAGGTATACTTATACTGAAATAGTTAAGAATTAATGGGATTTAGTTAGAAATGGGCCATCATCTGCTGCCTCCAAGGCAGATCAGCAGGAATGCTGGGATTTAGTCATGAATGGATTTAGTTAAAATTCCTATGATAAGAGGAAGAGGCAGAAATTTAGATGTAAACAGAGCAGTCATTAGTTGATAATTGTTGATGATCAATGATTAGTTGAGAATTAGGAGGGTTCTGTAAACTTCTGGTTTTGTTGTTGTTGTTGTTGTTGTTGGGTGGGGGGAACCTGTCAGGTTGTCTCCCTGCAAGAGAGAACAGTCTAAACTTCTGTTTTAACATTTACATATGTTTGAGAATGTTTCTAATAGGGGTAGGCATTTGATGGAGCAATTAAGACGCCACTTAGGATACCTGCATTCCCAAATCAGAGTGCATGGGTTCTGGTCCCAGCTCCACGTTGTTCACTTTGGGAATGTGCACTCTGGGAGGCAGTGATGGTGGCTCAAGTAATTAGGTCCCTGTCACCCATTTGGAAGATCCAGAAAGAATAAAAATAAAAAGTTCAAAAAACACTCATAATAAAAAGGTAACTATTCTGTAATTTAGACTATAATCTCTTAATTAGTAAGAGTTAGTAAAGTTTCACTTTAAATTTATTTATCTGAAAGTCAGAGTTAGAGATCAGAGGGGAGAGAGAGAGAGAGAGAGAGAGAGTGTTTTTCTTTCACTGGTTCACCCCTCCAAGTGGCCACAATGGCCATGGCTGAGCCAGGCTAAAGCTGTGGAGCTTCATCCAAGTCTCCCACATGGGTGGCAGGGACCCAAACACTTGGATTATCCTCTGGTGTTTTTCCTTGGCCATCTGCAGAGCTGGATTGGAAGTGGAGCAGCCGGGACACAAACCAGCACCCATGAGATGCTGGCACCCCAAGTGGTGGCTTTACCTGTTATGCCAACGCTGGCCCCATTTTTCTTTCTCTCTCTTTTTTTAAAGCATCAGTAACTGTGCAGTTAAAAAAATATAAAAGGGAAAGAGAAAGGAATGTAAAAGGAGGACTTCATAAAGTGACTTCAGTCCACAGGTAACAAGAGTAATTACTAAAATGGATCTTTAAAAAGATTTTTTAAAATATTTATTTGAAGGCAGAGAAAGATATCTTCCATGTACTGTTGTGCTGTTCACTCCTCAAATGCCTGCAGTGCAGCAGCAGCCAGGACAAGCCAGGCCAACACCACAGGTCTCCCACATGGATGGCAGGGACACAAGTACCTGAGCTGCCACCACGGCTTCTGTTTGTGCTTTAACAGGATGTTAATTATGATCAGAGGCATATGAGTGTTAGCTGAG